CATTGTGACAACAGTATGAGACTGCAAAATGTACTGGATTAATTCACTAGACATCTAGAACCAAACCACCTAAGCGATCTTTATTTCCTCAAAGGCAGCAGGGACCACTGCCACTGGCAATTTTTTTTTGCCAACCACTGCCACTGGCAATTTTTTTTTTGCCATTCTGAACCGGAAATATATATCCGTCCAAAGTAAAATTCTGGAACTGCCTCGCACAGAGCACTGCAGACCTAATTACACTTTATCTGTTGCAGCGGTTCAAAATGGCTACTCCTCAACACCATCTCCAAAGTAATTTGGCATGCAGGTAAATGTTGAAATAGAAGATCAGTCATGATCTTGTTAACTAGCAGAACAGTCTTCTTGGGCCTTCTGTTTCCTTTGTCTTGCCATATCCTGTTAACGAATAAAATAAAGCCTTATGCTTTCTCCTAAGGCATTAATTATTTTCTCTGTATACTTGTAGTCACTCCGTTTACTTAGTGGTTGTTCTGTGATGTGGTATAACTGCAAACACTACTGCTTTATTTCTTAAATCAAATTTCTGTGACCTAAAAGAGGTTTTACCTTTCATTCCCACCTTTTTCAGTTTTTGGTAACAACCTTTCCTCAGTTACATCTTTTGCAAAATCGAAGTGTCCAGTCATGTTTTTCACTGCCCACTTTGAACATTACACTCTCGAAATACAATCAGCGAAAATACTGCACTTCAGAAATGCTTTAGCTACTATTTGCAAGATCGTTCTCGTATTCACATGGGTGACTCTCAAGCTTTCCTTCGGGTTCCCTTTTTTTTTGGATATAGGTATTAAATTGATGAGTCTGACATCTCTCCGGAAGCTGTCCTGCTTCAATCTTGCAGGGAGCTGGAGAAGATCAGTCCTTCAACCCTGATGTGCTTCACAACAGAGTAGCACTGTCAGGGCTTAGCAAATGTGGATCAGACATGAAGCCTGAATATTACTCTTGACGAAAGTATAAGATGAGAGAAAATATTACAGAAAAGGATTTGCAAATCTATTCATCTGAAACAGAACTAATAAATGGAAATCTACTCTCCGGGTTGGTCTCATGTTAACCCTACCAGTAAGGGATTGTCTTTTTAAATGGGAATGGAGGAATTTCTCCTATGAGGTTCATTAGTGTTTGAAATTCCCTTCCCTAGAGAGCAGGGGGGGTGGGGTCATTGGATGTTTCAAGACTGAGTTAGACGGATTTGTCACAGAATCGTGGAATAGTTATGGTGCGGAAGGAGGCCATTTTGGGCTGTTTTTGATCTATAAGAAATTAAGGGTTGCACGTGAAGTGTAGGGGTAGGGGGAAAAGTGGATTTAGGGCCAGAATCGGATCAGCCATGATCATATAGAATGGCGGTGGAGAGTCAGAAGGCCTATTTCTTGTGGTGATGTGCCAAATGGTTTGATAGACGGGTTTTGCTGCTGAGGTTTTCTAGTTTAGGTTTGTATTGTTATTTATATCGGAGCCTTTTCCTCTAATCAGAACCACGTCATAAATTTTAAAACTCGGTGGGTTTTTAATATTACAGTAATATTGTAGAAAAGTGTAAAAATTCACACTGAACTGAAGAGCCATCCATGAAAAGCATTGTAAAGTAGAATATTTCATAGTGCATATTTTATTATTCTTGGAGGCTTCTACTTGACGGCTAAGTTTCCATTTATGTATTTAAATAAGACAAGTGTGCCATTATGATTTTGAATATTCAAATTAAAGAAGACAAGAAATGTTGATCCATCTTGGGCCTTCTAATGAAATTTTAATATTGAAAGGTTCTGTCTGGAAATGAAATTATTCTAAAAATAGTGACCAAGTATTAAGAGGCATAAACAGCTCTCATATGATACAAGTATAGCTATTTGTCATTGCTGTTATCTTAAACATTCTTGCTTCCTCGCAATCCATTTATATTGCTTTCAAATGACTGCTGTGGGATTTGTATCATCATCTGTCAGACTCCTCGCAAGTAATCTCATTTGCTAAATGACCACAGCCATCACACAATCTATGCTCCAAGCTGTGAGATGTGCCTTCAAGATTAACCTGATAAACTGCCTCCTGATAAACACACTGCCCAAATATTTAGCTGCTTTTGCAGGAAGAGAGGGCCACAAACCTGTGAAGTGACAACATATTCAAGAGCTTTGAAGAGTAAAAAGGAGATTGAAGAGGCTGCAAGGACAGAATGATCAACTGAAGTGCAGTTTCCACCCAATTAAATTAATATCGAAGCTTGATATATCTGCTTTACGTTTGATGTAAATGTAAATACATTCATAAAGAATCTTATCATAAAACTAACGCTAACTTTGCATTTAATTGTTTTCAGCAGCGAACTCGTATTTCACCCTGACCTTTTTGTTTAAATATGTAATGTATGTGATTTGTACAAGGCTTCTGCATTTTCACCTAGTGAATTTCAATTTTAGCAGTGATACAGATTGGCAGAATAGGAAGGACGTTTGGCAAGACTGAATAATGGGTAACAAATGCATTCCAGCTGATTATTCTTTCCTTGCAGCCTCTTCAATCAATCTTTCCTCTTCAAAATCCTTGAATATTCTGTCATTTACCAACGTGTTTTGTTTCCAGCAGGGATAATTGAATCATGATCAGTGCCAAGAACCTGGTTAGCATGTATCGTTCTCTTCCTTTTCCAGCCTGTGATTACCAAAATTATTTTTTTGCTAACTGACTGACTGAATGCAGAAAGTGAACAAATCAAATGTTTACATCTGGAATATTGTTCTGTGCATCACGTTCTGACTAACTTAATGGGGTTGTCCTGACTTCGGACTTTGTCCCACTCCTGAGTTGGTTACAGCAGAGTTTAAATTTAAAAAGGAAGTTGTGCTATTTCAATAGAAAAGATACTGTATGTACTTCACTGCGCTTGGTGTAAGAAGCAAGCCAGCCAGGTTTTTTGTTTAAGTTGACAGGTGAAAAGTCTGATATCTAAAACTCACTTGAGCAAACTTGCATAGAATATTAACAGACGGTTTAAAATATAAAAATATATCCAAATTTCCACCCACTTTTAATAAAGAACAGCGCATGCAACCTACATGCCTCCCAATACATGCAAAAACAAAGTACACTAAAACTCTACAGAGTTTTAGGTGTTAAAACTTGGCAAAATGCAGGTTGTCCAGAGGTTTGTTTATGGTTTTCAGAAGGGCCACTTTCTAATGTCATTGCTGGTACGGGAGCTGCTTACCAGGAGATGCATTTTGTAGTTGGAGCCTGGGATGATTCTCTTGTTTTCTTGAAGATGGTGGCGTTGATTTGGAACTCTCCCTTAAGAGCTTTCAGCTTCTAGCAATGCAGACTTCTGGTGAGCCTTCATCTCTCAAGCAGCTTCGATGAGTGAGATTTCCATGAAAGAGAGACAGGTGTTGCTGCTTCTGCCTTGCACAGTTTCTCTTGCTGTAGGTTCTAAAACCAGCGTCTCTTTTTACACCCAAGAGTAACATGACTTCTCTGAGACCACAAATTTTGTGTCTCCATGAAAGAAGTTTGTTTTTAACAAATGCAGCACTTGAGTTGCTATTGGCCAGTGTTCTTTGAAAAACATTCTTTTTAAAAAGTTCAAGATGTTTGTCTGTATCCATCTGATGATGTTATAAATTAATATTTTAGATAACAAACCCTCATAGCAACCTGCTATGATCAAGCAGTTCTCCGATTTATTATGGCTTTGTGCTGTTCCTCTGAGAGTTTTCCTAACGTTGCATATTAAACTTTCATTTAAATCCTCCTGATTTTCCCCAAAATTCTTCCTTTCCCAAAGGAGTGTGTTTCATGGGACCTGACCATGATCAAGCTGAAACAGAAATTAGTGGAGAAGCAATAGGTCTGGCAGCATCTGTGGAGAGTTAATGCTTCAGGTCCAGTGAAGGTCTAGTCACTGAACCTGAAACGTTAACTCTGCTTTTTGTCCACAAATGCTGCCAGACCTGCTGACTTGCTCCAGTAATTTTTGTTTTTGTTTCAGATTTCCAGTATCCATAGTTCTATGTCTGTTTTTATTGATCGAATAAGTTTTTTGATTGAACTTGAGAGCTTCGTGCTCTGTTTGCTTGTATCAATATTGCATTGTGCGATATGTTACTATTGGAGGAGCAACTCATAATTTCACAGAATAGGAACAATGTACTACGGATGCTAAAATCGGAAGTAAAAACATCAAATTCTGGAGAAACTCGGGAGGTCTGACAGCCATCTGTGGCAAACGAAACCGTTAATGTTTTGAGTCCTGAAGACTCCTCTTCAGAATTGAAGGAAAGTCATGTTGAATTTGCCTGTTAACTGTTTCTTCCTGCACGGATGCTGCTAGGCCTGCTGAGTTTCTCCAACATTTTCTGTTCTTATTGCATACTTTTAGGGAGTGGATGAAATGAGCTAAAGCAGTCCCTGTATTAATCTGCAAATTTTCATATTGGACCCTGCTCCTGGTATTGCTATCACAGGCTTTGCTTGACCATAATTTTCTGCCATGCTTTGCATAAATATGAGTTTCTAGACTGTTAAATCTGAAAATTAGTGGTTCCTAGTAGGTCACTGGGGTATTGTAAAACTAATGCAATTTTTTTTCAAGCAGGCTGAGTGATTAAACCTGGTAAGTAACCATACGAAATCCATGGGTTTAAAGGTTAGACATAATGTCGAATTGACATATTAGAATTGTTGAAGCACTATTGGCTTCATAATGGATTCTTGTTTACCACCAATATAACATTGCCCATTGTGGTCGGAGTTTGAAGTACTGTAAATTACTTAAATGTGACTAGGAAGTGCTCTACACGGCAATTCAAGTTATTGGCAAAAGTAATGCTGTATTCTTCCAGGATGATCATTTCATAATTAAAAACTGACAATATTAAAGGATAATGGTGCAGTTCAGAACACGACATATTGAAAAATGTGGCACAATTGCTAATAAATTAGCAAGTTTTAAAAGTTGTTATTTTCTCCTGTAGGTCAAAGAAGCTTGCGTCCTTGGCCGAGTCACTGCAGAATGTAAAAGTCACAAAGGATAATTTAGGCTTTGAACTGGAAGAATTGGAGAAAGCAGCGCTATTAGTTCAAGAGGAAGAAAATGAAATCCGATCAGGGCAGAGTGGTCTCCAATCGCTCCTGTCAGAAAGTGAGACTGAGGAAGATAATGACTCTGAGGAATCCACTAGCTCATCCAGTGATACTGGAGAGTCTGATTCATGTGAAAACGATTTGTCTAACTGTAGCATTTCTGAGGAAACGGATAGAAAAGGATTGTGCCATGCAACAGAGGCTGACTGTGTCGCTGAGTTCAATGCTGAAGAGGATATGATCAAATTGAACTGTGGTGATGAAACTGTGCATATGGATGCCATAGGATATCCAGTTAACTGCCCATTGGGAGAGACTTCCACTGGTAAATCACCTCCAAGAAGATTGATAGAAGAAGTTGCAGATCAGTTGCAGTCAATGGGCTTTTCGGAGTGCTGTGAAAAATCTGCTGCTGAGAATTCGGAGCACATACCAACAAGCCTGCCTCTTCAGAGTTTGGCACAGTATCAGCATTCACAGACGACCTCACAGCAGACTTTCTTAGAGGTGTCTCCTAAGAGGAATTGCCTGCTGCTTGTTGCAGATCCTGATAACACAGAGGATTTTATAAACCTGGCATGAGTCCAGCTTGCATGCGAGAAAAGAACAAACTGATTTATGAGCAAGTGGCTGATGCTGGTCAGTGTACTTATTAAATCACTTTAGAAGTGAAAATTTGCTCTTAAATGCTTTGGATTTTTTTTGCACGATATCTGGTATAAATGTACATAACTGTATTACTTGTGTCTTCAAAATAATAGATATCATTATTGCCTTCATTGCTGCATTGTGTCGTGATGTTAAATCATCATACTGTAAGTTTAACCAGTGTTAGTCAATCTATAACACAGTTGAGAATTGGTTTCGATCACGTCAGTCCTTATTGTATCTAGCCTGTGTTTCTTTTATAGTTTTTTTAAATCTAACAAGCTTTCATCATAACAGTATCACTTAATATGTACATGGAAGCCCTATAGGCAACACGTCCTTCTTCATGTTCAAGAATAGTGCTGTAGGCTGATAGAATATGGGTTTGAATCAATGGACTCGCCGTTTGCTGAGAAACACATCCCATGTGGGATATTGCCTGTGAGCCCTGATTGCTGCCTCATTAGCCAAGGAATTGTACACAGTGTGAGAGAAGGGAGGCTTACATTAGGGGAGATTTAATTTTAAAAACAAAACAAAGCAAAGCATAGGTAAAATGACGCACAATTTACAATTAATGTGGAACTGCTGGGCAGGAGCTGAACAGTCAATCCATTTGTATTAATAGTGTCACTCAATTCGAATGTTGAAAAAGGTGCAATGCTCATTAAAGTCGATGTCAGAGCTGACTGGATCCTGAAAAACAGTCATTATTGAGGAAGTTGTGAACGAGAGAGGGAGAGGAGGCAGATTTAATCATCGAGACCATGTTATAGAATGGAAATTCATGCTTCAAACTGACAGTAAAATAAATTCTTTTACACACTAAAACCTGTTGGAAGGATGTAGCATTTATCAACCACCTAACGAATATCCTAACTGCCTTTTAATGATTTAAACTAGCACTAAGAAAACCTTTCTATTTAAAGATTGCGTGAAACCTATCCCCACTTCTGGCATTTGTTGAGATATTTTGAAAGCATTTGCACAGTCCTTTGAATCAAAACAGCTACAAACTTTGAAATATTGAAATCCAGGAAAATATGCTTCTTGCCCTTTCTGGTCCTCATGTCTCTTCATAATCGCTGGGTTTGCTTGGAGACAAGAAAAATGTATATCAGGAGCAACTGATGTGTATGTTCCTTTGTGAAATAGAGACTATTACATGTTATGCAAAAAAAATTGAAACCTGAATGGTTGCTGCCAGAGCCTTAGTGCACCCTAATGTTGCCTTGAGTTAATGTGATAGGATTTATTGAGTCTTCTGAGAGCCAGTGTTCACACGTGAAAATGCAAGAATTTGTTTCTCGCGCTCTGGAAAGATTGGCTCGGGGTCCTGACAATATTGCATTTTAAAATAGGAATGTGTGCAATTTTGGCATCCTGCCACTGGATGTCACAATTGTAGTTTTACAAAGCTCGTTGGAGAGCCGGTGACATGGAAGCAACTTATTTTTCAGTGTGGCTTGCTATTGAGTTGGTGCAACAGCTTCCTAACTCCTCACAAATACCCAACTATTGCCTTGAATATACCATTTTACTTGCCATTTAGTGGCTGACTCAGTCTTCATGGCATTCAGTTTGTAAATCCATGCCTGATAGCTGTAAGAACATAGAATTTATGAGCAAGAGTAGATGGGACCTTTGGCCCTTTGAACCTGTTCCATCATTTAATAAGATCATGGCTGATCTCAGCTCCACTTTCTTATCTGGACCCCTTGATTATCTTATTCGTTAAACACCTATCTAATTCAGCTTTGAATAAAGTTAAAGATCCAGCTCCACTGCTCTCACATGGAGAAACCATATACGAGTACAAATATAGAAATGAATGCTGTTGGAAATTATTGCTGCTGCTTCTAACATTTCCCTACTCTGCATAGTGGCATGAAATCTTTGACAGCAAATGAAATTTTCCTGTATTTACACAGCAAACGTTGGTAAACGTACAACAAAACCTTTCATATCTCTCGTGCTTTTACTGCATGGTCATTTTAACACAGGTTAACACTATGACTCACTTGGTTGGCATTTTTGTCTCTGAACTAGAATGGACTTGAACAGAGATTTTTGAGCACAGCATCCAGGTTGATAGTTGATTTGAGATGACTCTGAGAGGAACAGTCCCTTAAATGAGATGTTAAGTCACTGCCGCATTTACCCCCTCAGATGGATGTAAAACATCTCATGGCACCATTTTGTACAAGAGAAGAAGGGTAATATTTGACCTGTATTTTATCCTCCAGTCAAATCACAAAAATAGTCTACCTGGTGATTATCACATTGACCTTGCTTTTTATAAACTGCCTGTGGTATAAATTCCCACTTCACGGTAGTAATTGCATGTCAAGAAATAATATATTGATTGTAAAAAGCTTTGGCATATTTAGTGGTCATGAAAAGGGGCTACACACTTAAGTATTTCTGCCTTTATGACTACAAGTAACTGGACATGAGTCCTGTTAATGTGACTGAAGGTTGTGGCTGACCCAAGGCTGTAACAAATAAACAAAGAAAAATGCACATCAAATAGATGGATAATCTCAATTGAGAGAGTTGTTCTGCACAATCCATTTGTTCAAGTGATAAACAGGAAGAGTACTCAGTCCAAGTTATATCCAGATAAGTTAGGGAAATTTTGAGAGAGATTTTATGGAGTCATGTTTTGAATGTGCATATCTCCCATATTAGTGTGGTTAGATGTGTGACTTTTTTTTTCATATCTGGTAGATCTGCTATGTTTCATATTCATGAAATTTATATTACTTTTGAAATCAGAATAAGCTATCTCTGCTTATTTAAATGAGTGTCAGTTTGTTTCATGATCATAGAATCCCTACAGTGTGGAAGCAGGCCATTCAGCCCGTCGAGTGCACACTGACCTTCTGAAGTGCATCCCACCCACAACCCTATCCCATCCCTGTAACCCTGCATTTCCCATGGCTAATCCACCTAGTGTGCACATCTGTGGACATTATGGGTAATTTAGCATGGCTAATCTACCTCACCCGCACATCTTTCGACTGTGGGAGGAAACCCACGTAGACATGTGGAGAATGTTTGTGTGGAGTTTGAACAGTCGCCTGAGGATGGAATCAAACCCAGGTCCCTGGCGCTGTGAGGCAGTCTTAGTATCTACCATTTACCTGCATGTCATTGGTAATCTTTGTGCTTGCTTGTGTTTTCTGCCTGAAAGCAAGTTTGACCCATAGAGCTGTGATCTCCACCACTGGAGGCTGTTACAATTGTAATTTTAAAAAGCTCCTCATTGCTGTGGTGCCACTGAATCAGCTGGTTTTTCATTGTGAAGCTATCGTGCAACAGCTTACGGCATACCCAACCATTGGCTTGAATACGTCATGTTACTGTCCAGGAGGCAGGTCCTGAATTCACCCCACCTGGCACAGGGCTCAAATCCCATGGTGTTGGCATGAATTTGATCCATACCAACCCTGCAACCAACTGAGGCAACCAATCCCAACTGAGCAACGTACCCTTTTACTTGCACATTGTGGCCTAGAATGGTGGAGTGGTGATGGTAGAGGCTCCAGTTTCTTTCTGTTATGTGGCTGACCAGGAATATTTCCCACGTTCACCACCCGCCTGTCAGGCAGGTGTTGGAAAAATTTGCAAGTGGATACTTACACCACATTATTGACTAGTAAATAAGACTTGAACCCAGAGTTTTTAGTTCAAAGACAGGGACATGGTCAAAACACACTCATAATTGGCAACATTATTGTTAAGTATTAAACCAGCCCGTTGCTCAATGAATGAATGCTGCTGCACAACAAAAGAAATAATATTCTTGAGTTAGTCTCCAGTCCTCAATCCCCAACCTGATTTATTCTGTGATTTGGGAAGCCTATATTTGTTGGTGAATCAGTAAGTAAGCTTACAGAAATCTGCCAAATTAATATTAGTAACAAATCAGTTTTCACATATACTGAAGATTGCATTCATCATGGCAGTAGTCCTTTAAATATACACCTTTACTCTTGTCTACAACCCAAATCTGAATAGTGTCAATATTGCTGAAGTGTTGGGAACTGACCACGCACCTCCACTAAAATCTAGTTAGAGGCTCACTTAACAACAGAACAAACTTTGCTGGGTTCAGTGCTTGATGATATATGTACTGATATCACCTTATTCTTATCCATTAATGTGAATCTTGTCCTTTCATATCTACAGACTGTATATCAGGCATAGTTCTAGAGTTAACTGGAGCTTCTCTTGTGCACATAGACTCTACAATGAGGCAGCATGAGCTAATCCAACAGACTTTCTTGAGCAGAGTGCATCAAAGTGGCATAATACTTTGATATACAGCACTATTGTGCTCCAGGAACTAAGCCACTTCAGAATCAGTTGAAACTTGCTGCAAAATATGTGACATGACAGTTTATTTTTATTACTGGCCTAGACCAGAAGAAGTGAAAACAGCAGAGTCCAGCCAATTCAATTCCCAAATTGTGTATCCTAAAATAATTTGTGCAGTGTCATCACAATGTAAAAATATGTTTGGAAGTGCTTAATTAAAACTGGAATTAAGCATGTAATTGACTGTGGAAATTTCTCAATGGGATTGCTCGTGTTGATGATGTGCAAACCTATTAATTGGGAATGGATCTGCATACCAGGTAGAATTCAGACACAATTCTGAAAATTAGATGGTGATGGGAACACTGCAACTTAAAATATCAAAGTCGGGCAAGAAATGTTGGAAGCATTCAAGGGATCAGATATCAGAGAAGAGTAGGGTTAACAATTCAGATTGACACCCATTTGTCAGAAATACTGATAATAGGTCACTAATGTAAAATATTAGCTTTATCTTCATAGTCTTAAAAATCTCTATTAAAGTTCAGTAATAGTTGCAATACCTTAAATCTCAACTCTATCTCCGATATAGTAGCCCCATCATCATGCTGCTGAACATACACTGCACTTTTCTCCTTTTGCTTTATTTTGCTTCTATAGTACATTCCCATGGAGTATTCTGACCTAACCAACATCACTGCACACTACTCTGAGGTGTGTTCTTTTTTGTTGAAAAGGAGGAACAGATCAGAGTCTCCTTTGATTGATTATGCAGCTTAGGTGAATTGAATGTAGACAACCTCCAAACTAGTTTTGATATGGATTGATGTTTATGTTGTGGAGTCACTCAACATGAGCTGGGAATTGATTTTGGAACATGGTGGCTGGAGTGGGAAGAAAAAATATTTCAATGTTCTGGTGGGAGAGTTAGTGAAATTTGTGCAGAATGCTGTGGTTCTTTATTTGTATTCAGTGCGCATCCCATAAAGCAGGAATGATTGATAATGACTTGAGGCAAAATGGAAAATTGTTCCTTTGGTAGCTCTAATCCTAATTATGCATAAACAGCAGAAACCCTTCAGCAGGAATGCCAAATTGAGCAGTTTCCTATGCCCTGCTATTGAACAGCATCTCTTAGCAGTTAGAAATCTTCACTGTATGTACCTTTTTTTTTGTTTGGTTTTTCATTCAGGCAGTTCCAGCAAGAGACAGGTGACTTCTGCCAGGATTGTTCTCCACGATTTCTAAATTGATGAGGTATAGGGTGTGCTTTTATTGTTCTAACCCAGAGATATACCGTCTGATATTGCTTTTGGAAGCAACCTTCTAACACAAATATGAAGTTAGTTAGGAAGAATGAGGCCAAGGTGAGGGATAATGGCTACATAGTCCAATATTCAGGATAGGACAGGTGATGCCTCTCTTGGATCTGGTGCAGATCCCAGCTTTTCATCATATCTGTAAATGGTCTCTGAAGAAATGGAGACCTGTGTGTCTAGGTTTGCTAA